GTAATACTGTTGTATTATCTCTGTCCAGGTGGATAAGGGAGAGCACCCTATTGTCTGTAGCAGTGCACTCCTTTCCTTCCCTGATTGGCAGGTCTTTAACTAGTTGTACTCTTTCTGATGAGGCAACTCTTGCCAGGCTTCAACCATTTGAAAATTAGAAGGAAGGAAACTTATCCCTACCACCACCTCTGTCCCCTTAAGTGGGCAAGCTATCCTGAACATGGGGTGTAAAATGCTATTATTATTATTAGTTAAAGGCAGAATAAACCCCACAATAGAGCAACTCTGGGTTCTGAGGGAGTCTGAGTCCTAATATGCTTATAGATTAAATCTCTTGGCCAAAGTCTTCAACTTTTGTCTCTGTCCTCTTGTCAGAGCAGTTAAGTCCTTTCCTACTATTGCACACCCCAGTCTTCCATCTTTAACTTTCTTTTTTAATATGATGCTGTCCCAATGGTCAACACTTCCATTCAATTCATGGTTCTTGGGGTTTGGGATAAATATGAGAAGGTGGATTAGTTGGCACAGATGACGCATACTTTTTAACACTTTGTGAATTTACAGCATGGGTATCTTTGGAACAGTGTGTCTTTGCTGGTATGTTCTTGCTGCTTCCATTTGTTTGTCTTTACTAAACTTTGCCTCCTGCTCATGTTGGAAAGTTTATCATAACTAGCTTTTGGTCACATTTGGGTCTTCTGAAAGCTTTTCTGTTCAGTGATCTTGTAATTCTGTGTCTTAAGCCATAATGGATGTCACTGTTTTTAATTAAATCTGGACTTGTTTAGGAACTCAACAACAGATGCAAAAATCACACACACCAAATGCTTTATTTCTCATACTAATAACCCTGCAAAATGGAAAGAGATGTGAATTCTTTTTTTGCTTAAGAAATATAGTTCTGAAATACTTCTAGTTGCCTTTAAAAAAAAAATAATAAAGTATGGTTTTGAAAAATTAAGTTTCTTGGCTTGGCTTTGTAACTGAAAACTTGTTCATTAAGTGGAAACCCTAATGTAAGCACACAGTTTATGATTAAACTGCATACAGCCTGGACTAAATGCTTGACTAAGGGCTTGTCTTCCCTGCAAAGTTAACTCAAATTATAGTGCAAGTGTTGCCCCTAACCCAGCTCCTGTCCATATACAAAAATTTCTGGTTTGAGTGATGGTGCTTTAAATCAAGCAACCTAAGGGAGTATAGGTTGAGCTCAGGTGCTGCTGATGCTCAAGCTACTATGCTGTGTGAATGCATATAGAGTCCACTTTAGTACAGTCTCCCTCCCTTTCCCCCCTGCAGCTGTCTTCCCAAAAGTCCTGGGGCCTTTGTCTACCTACCTACTCCCTGGTTTTGGACCGGAAGTTACTTAGCCTGCTTTGGTGTTCAGACCCCACCTCCGCATGCAGTTTTCTGTACTAGTAATATTTATATAGTACTTTTATTGCCTTCTGATCTGAACAGGTACATCTTGCAGTGTGGATAAAAATTCACTTTAAAATTTTTTATTTCAACCTGATTGATTTTAAATTAATTTTGTTTTTAAGAGAAACCTCTTTAGAATTGAAATTATGACAACCTATGTTAAAGCCTGAATTTATTATAACAACATTTAAGCTAATATTAAGAGTACATGTAGCTTCTGATCTTTCTTTGAAAGTCAAACTATTGAATTAGTGGAAGTCACTGTGCTAGGCACCTGGAACCAGAACTTGCTGAAGTGCTAAAACAACATTTGACAGCAGTAGCCTCTTCTGCAGACACCGAATATTTTCTTCATTTCAGTTTATTCAACTAGTTTAGGTCAGTGACTAGCTCATTCTAGTTAAGAAACTAGTTGGGAGTTGAAAAACCAGTAAAGCTTGTTTTCTTCTCTCAATTTGTGAATAAAAATAGAGGATGAGATCTACTAGTTCTAAAATCTTGAAGGATAGGGTGACCAGAAACAATTAATTGAACTAGCTAATCACAGTTGCTTCCTTTTATTAAGTTTTAAATAATAAACAATTTTAAAATGCTGTCTTTGTGAATTTTAATTTAATTTCAATTTCCATCCAGATACAGTTTAATGCAAATCATGAGTGAAAAAATCCAGTAAATAAGAAATGCCTCATTCACGATTTTCTAATATACTAAATATAAATTAAAAATCTGGATAAATGCATATTAAATTATAGAACTGCTTAAATATGTATAGATATATGCAATGTATGTGTAGGTCAGTCAAACACCAAAGTTAGTGTGAAGGCTATACTTAATGGCAAAAAACATATTTTAATGGATACCACCCAATAAGAATCCACTTTTCTTAAGGGAAATAAGTACAAATGCAAAACAAGATTAAAATCAAATATTTAAATCAAGGTTCCTGTTTGCTGATTTAAATGGCCTTGATTAAAATAATCTACCCTGGTATTCTGGGAGAGCATACTCCCAGTGGGTGACTAGTTGGCCTGAGGCTGATAAAGTTTTTGTGAGACTGGTGTGAGAAATAAGTCTTAGTGATATCTCCAGGAAGCAAGCTGACAAAGGGATCCACAACATTAGACCTCTGCCAGGGAAACATAAAATCTCTGAAGAACCTGTACTACTGGGCAAAGGACCACAACTCTTGTTCTGGTAACTCCCCTAGAATATCACTGTTCTATGAGGAGTTGGACCAGGAGATTAACAGTACCTCAAGCATGGAGCTCCTGAATACCCCTTGATATCTCAAGGGTCCTGGGCAATGTACATGGGTGATCAAGGGCTGAGTCAGAGGAACTGGGGCCAATCTCAGCTGAGGGTAGAGCAGATGCTCACCACTTCTAGGTATAGCCTGTCTCACCTCACCTAGCCCTCCCAGACCCTCTTCAGGGAGGAGGTAGAAGAACTCATGGGAGAGGATATAGCAGAGGAATCAGCATCAACTCAGCTGAGTAAAGTGACTCATTAGTGTTATGGGTGGGAGAATATGAGAAAAGGGGGCTGTCCTTACCTGTGTGGGACCACTCTCTTGCTGGAGTGGGAGATGTTGCATGCTGGAGACTGGACTTTTTATGCAATGCATATTGTTGCTTCACTTTGAGGGCAAAAGAATTGTCCCGTTCTGCTCTCTTCCCCTCATGCACATGCTGTCCAAGACAGATTCCAAGCAGGGAAGAAAATGTTTTAAACAGGCAAGTGGTGACTTATAGTGGTGTATACTGCTGCAAATGTGCAAAATAGGGATTATTACAGTACTCCAAACCAAGAGCTGCAGGAGTCGGACAAGCATAGTTGTGGAGTCACATATAACTTGGCTTTTTCTCAACCAAGATAGCATTTTTAGAAGCAGTCAACACTTAAAGACTGGTTTAGGAAACAAATCCACTGCATAGCCTGTGTTGATATTAAGTCCTGAGCGTATCTATAACGTCTCCTGGAAATACAGGTCCAGCTGCCATGGGTGGAAGTGATTGGGGTTGCAAAGACACAGCTGGGGAGGTTCTATACTGCTGCATTCTAGTTCAGCATCCTGTTTATACCGGCCTGAATTTTACTCCACTCCTGGGTAATGATGCAAGAAAACTTCTCATGGTAGAGGAGCTTCAAACAGTCTGCCAGGTGTGTCAGCAGAGGAAACTTCTCATGTAGGAATGTCAACTTTCTAATTACAGAAAATTTAACACCCTTGCCCTGCCCCCACTCACTCCATCTCCCCTCCCTTTGTCCCTTGCTGTCCCACACCCACCCTCACTCACCCCCTCATTTTCACTGGGCTGGGGCAGGGGGTTGGAGTGTGGGAGGGAGTAAGGGTTCCAGCTGGGGGTGTAGGCTCTGGGGTGAGGCCAGGGATGAGGGGTTTGGGATGCAGGAGGAGGCTCCTGGCTGGGGGATGGGGTTGAGGGGCTTGGGGGAAGAGGTGGGGGGTATGGGCTCTGGGAGGGAGTTTACATGCAGGAGGAGGTTCCAACCTGGGGCAGAGGGTTGGGGTGTGGGAAGGTCTCTGGTAGGGTGACCAGATGTCCTGATTTTATAGGGACAGTCCTGATTTTTGGGTCTTTTTCTTAAATAGGTTCCTATTACCCTTCACCCCCTGTCCTGATTTTTCACACTTGCTGTCTGGTCACCCTAGGTTCTGGGCTGGGGGTGCAGGCTCCAGAGTGGGGCCAGAAATGGGGCAGGGGTAGGGTGACCATATTTCCTGTTTTGGCGAGGACAGTCCCTTTTTTAAGCAGTGTTCTGACTGTCCTGACTTTTTTGGCAAAAGTGGGCATTTGTCCTTGATCAGTTAGCAAGAACAAATGGGACAAATGCCCACTTTTGTCAAAAAAGTCAGATGCGAGGGGTGAGCGGCGATGCCAGCCCCATGCAGGGAGCAAAGGCAGGGCTCGGGTGGGGGGCAGGCAGAGCTTGAGTGAACAGTGAGGGCAGCCCCAGTCTTGCATGTGGGGGGTATGCAGGGCTTGGGCGAGCAGCGACCCCAGCCTCGCAGGGTGGGGGGAGGGAGGGCAGGCTCAGACAAATGGCTCAGACCAGCCCCGCATGGGGGAAAGATGAGGGGGGTGAAGGCTAGCCCCACACAGTGACCCGTTTTCTCTTTGGGAAATATGGTCACCCTAGGCAAGAGGTTGGAGTGCGGGAGGGGGCTCAGGGCTGGGGTAGGAGGTTGGGGTGCAGGAGGAGGTGAGGGGTGCGGGCTTTGGGCAGTGCTGACCTCAGGCAGCTCCCAGGAAGTGGCAACATGTCTCTCCAGCTCCCAGGTGGAGGAGCGACCAGGGGGCTCCGCACACTGCCCCCACCCACAGGCACCACCCCCACAGCTCCCATTGTCTGCAATTCCCAGTCTTAGCCAACCTGCCTTAGCCCTGCTGTGCCGCCACCTGTACTTTTAACGGCCCAGTCAGCGGTGCTGACCGGAGCTGCCAGGGTCCCTTTTCAACTGGGTGTTACGGTTGAAAACCGGATACCTGGCAACCCTAACCGTGGATAAGCTTCAACAGGAGAGATTGAGGGAGTCCTACATCAGAATATCCCTTAAATCAGGCCTTGTCTACACTACAAAGTTTTGTCAGCAAAAGTTATGCCACTTTAATAAAAGCACTTTAATTAAAACCGCTGTTGCATGTCCACACTAGCTCACGTCAGCAGAGTGCATCTACACTAGCAACTCTTGTATCAACACAGAGCAGTGCACTGTGGGTAATATCCCACTGTGCAGCTGGCCGCAGGGTGCTTTGGGAAGGGTTTGCAATGCCTCATGGGGCAGGTACAGCATCACATGATGCAGGTTTCTCAATCCCATCATTCCAGGGGCATCCTAGTAGATTGTCAGGTGCTTTTTCAACTGAGGAGGGAGAGGGGAGTGGTGTATCTGGAGCGGGGGAGACAGCAGGCTGACCGACCTATCCTGAAGCAGAGGGAGGGGGGACACCCCCCCCCCATGTCAGCCCCCAGCTCTGCTCAGCACGGCAGTCTCTCCCGAATCAGCCCACTCTGCCTGCGGTACTGTGATTCCTTCCGAGTTCCGGGAGCAGCATCCTGAGCAGCTCTGTGAGCTCTCTGTGCTGAGGAATGTCAAAGCAGCATAGCAGTCGTGTCGTCTGTCCCCCAGCAAGCCACCAGTGTTCCTAGAACAGGTCAGAAAAGGAGCATTCCATGTTAATGATTTGCTCTTTGTTCCTGGAGCAGAACAGCATGCTCAGCTGTCTGATACTTCTCAGAGTTTTGAAAGGGGAGGGGTGAAAACCTACCGGGCAGCGGAGATCAAAACAGTGAGCATAGTGGTCACGACAGGCATTGTGGGCTACTGGTGGAAGCCAGTTATGTTGACAAAACAAACAGCAGTCTATACTGATGCTTTGTTGCTTTAACTTTGCCACAAAAAGCTTTATGCCTCTTCTTTAAGTGGTTTTATTTTGTCAGCAAAACAGCAGAGTTTTGCCGCCAAACGTAGCTTTGTAGCGTGTACCCCTTCCCTGTTTTGTCAGCAAAAGGCAGCTTTTGCTGACAAAACTTTGTAATGTAGACAAAGCCTCAGTGGTAGCTAGGTGAGCCCTGTTCACAGGGCCGGCTCCAGGCACCAGCGCAGCAAGCAGGTGTTTGGGGTGGCCAACTGAAAGGGGTGGCATGTCCCTCAGTCCCTCTCAGAGGGAAAGGCCTGCCACCAAAGAATGAAGCGGCGGCAGTAGAGCTGCCGCCAATCGCTTCCTTTTTGTTTGTTTTTGTTTGTTTTTTTTCCGCTGCTTGGGGCGGCAAAAACGCTGGAGCTGGCCCTGCCTGTTCATATCCTTTTGACTGGTCTGATAGAGAAGGGGGAACTCATCCTCTGTCTCCCACATCCCAGGCAAGTACTCTAATCACTAGGCTAAAAGTGTTAAGTTGGTCAAAAGCACCACCTCCTCTTCCAACTGTTTCGTGTGGCATGAGGCAAGTTCCTAACCCATTCCCACAAAAAAGAGCATAGGCATCTAAGCCTCCTGACTCCAAGAAGTGGGTTCCAATTGGTGGAATGCTAAGCTGAGCTATGTTTCCTCTCTGCAGCCTGGACTCAGGTGTCTATCTCTGAGAGAGTGGTGGGGTTTAGCACATATCCCTCTCCTTAGCATCTCCCACTGGCTAGTTTAGGCAGCTCCCTGCCTAAAGTGCTTGATTTTGTGGATCATATTCTTAAGCACCTCTCTCTCCCCTTTCATATAGGAAGCTTAGGCCCCTAACTCAGCTTTGTGGACCACAGTGTTGTTCCTGGGATTTTTCTAGGTTTCTAAAAGTTAGGTGTTGTAATGCCGAGCATCATGGTATCTAAGTCCTTTTGTGAAGCCCATTCTATCTATAACTTAACCCTGAGATGATTTAAACCCCTTTACTGGGCTGAGAAAAGCCCTTCTTATTGGGACTGCCTGAGGAGTCAGACTTCAGAGATTGGAGCTAACACTTGTGGTCTATTAGAGGGCTAGATGCTGGATCCCAACAGCTGTACCTCATGAGCGAGGAGGTTGTTTCGGAGTGCAGTGGACTAGGAAAGAGTAGAGTTCCTTTCCAGTCAGGAATGATCATAGGCTGGGGACAGATTAGATCTTTCTCTTTATTCCTCTAGACAAAGGAGGGTTGGGATTATAGCCACCCTGCCAAAGGAGGGTTGGGGTCACTCTGCTAAGAGGGGAAATCTTGGTTGACTGTTTGATTAAACCACCTTGTCAAGTTGTCAGAAGGCAACTTAAAGATTCTTTTTGGATATACAGCCTGGAGAACTGGGTGGTACAGGAAGTTGTTTTGTGAGTGTGTTTTGGTTTTCTGTTCTTGGTTAAAGGGTGACCCTGGACCTGGTTCTAAGTGGGGAAGCAGCAGTGTTATGATGAGCCCTCAAGCAAGGGGAATTTTGGAGGTTTGGATAAGGTGCTAAGAAATACTGTATAAAAAATTCAAGAAAATTGAGTGGGTGAGGAAGAATGTTATTCACGTGAGAGAATGAAGAGATGAGAAGAGTGAAAATGGACTAAAAAGAAATGGGAAATAAAAATAGAAGCAATGTCATATAAAAGTAAAGTAAATAACTTTTATTAAAGTTCCTTAATGACATTTCCTTGGTAGAAGAGGGGAAAGACTGATTGTCAGGGAGAAACTTCAAGTCAATTGCAGAATAGTGAGCGACCATGTAACCTGGAGGAATGTTGGTGGTCATGAGATAATAGAAACGTACAAGCAGTTTAGCTGATTCTACAAAAAGTAATTTGTCCTATTTTTTTATTTCCTCTCCTCCCATCTCACAGGATCGGTTTACCGGAGGAAGCTGCTAGCTAGTGGAACAGATAAAAGCATGAAAGCCTCAAGGACCACCTCCCAAATTGCCTGTTCAATAGTGCAGTCCTGCTGCCATGTCTCCTTCAAGCCCTCCCTGTGAACCCTGCACTGCACAAGTCCTCAAGCAAGCTGATTCTCACCAAATAAATATAGTCATGTCTTTGAAATATTATTTGTTCTGTCTCCAGCTGTTGTTGCAAATGGTAAGTCTATAGATGCTCTGTTTGTAATTTGTGTCTGTTGATGCAGCATGGGCCAGTGGCTAAGCTTCTCTTTTCCATGCCAGAGGTGAGTATTAGATCATGTCAGGGTAAGGAGGACAAAAAGGAGATTGTTCCAGGGTGGAAAAACAACTAAGAGTGAGCAAGATAAGGAGGGAATGGGAAAGGGAGTAGGAGAGAAGGGGGGAGGAATAGACAAAAGAGTAAGTGTGAAAGATATAAAGAGGAACGTAAGGCCAGACAGTGTAGATGAAGGCAACAAGAGGAGAGAGCCAAAACTACAAGAGTAAGAAATAATTTAGGACTTGAAACAGGAAACACTTTTTTTAAATAAACAAGCTGGGCTTGCAAATACAGCCTAGAAAATATGGAAAAGGTATTGGGACAGGGACAAAGCACAAAAGGGAATACAGAGGCATAAATGCCGTTTTCTCTCAACCCACCCTTTACTATAACTTGTTCTAAACGGGGAAGGTGGTCATGGGCAAAAAGGAATATTGGCTGGCTTGAAAGTAAGGAGGAAAAGGCACCCAGTTGGTGTTGCCAACTAATTTATTGGTGCTTCTCTTAAAGCTCCAGCTCCTGGAGGCTTGTGATTAGATGAAACCTCAGCTTCATTTAAAAAAATCTAATTCTCATGGTTGCAGAGAAAAGCTAGAAAATCTGAACCACATGCATCCTAAAGGTTTAAAAAACACAACGCAAAATAAGACACCCTACATCTACTGTTTTTAAATCTCATGTTTTCAGCCTGACTCATTACTCTTGAACACCTGGAGTTGGCATCCTTTTCCTCCCCTTTCTTCCCCATTTACTACCACAACTCTCTCTCCTATACAGGGATCCCACAAACTGTTGCTCCTACCTGGCTCTCCAACAAGTGGCCAGTTCTTTGACATTGTAAATCTGGTCAAGCTAATTTCCGATCTTGAAGGCAGGAACGTTTTTTCAGCATTGCCAAACCCAAATGCTTAAAAATCATGAATCTGCCCCTTCTCCTAAACGAATAGGCTTAACCCCCTCCCCAAACCCAACATTTTGTGTTTAATACTCTTATTTGCCTTCTGTTTTTTGAGCTAGTAAAGCACACCTGGATCAGCTTTTCAAGCTCTTCTCTGCAACCACAAGAATTAAAATGAAAGCCTGAGATACCACCTAACTATAAGCTTCCGAGTGCAGGGCTTTTTAAGAAGCACTTCATATTGTGGCAGATCATAAAATTGAGAGTTGGTAACTGGTGGGGGGTGCAATTCTGGGGCTGGTTGCACTTCTAGTTGGGGCAGGCATCGCTCAGAGGGTACCAACGTTTGTTTTGAGCATGGTCTGTGTCTGTGGCTGCTGAGGGCAGCCCTTTCAGAGACTGAGCTAAGTCGGGGGAGCCTGGCCCTGTGGGCAGTCAGGAGCTGAGCTCAAGCGACTCACAGCAGTTGTGGGAGAGCCGGTCCCCAAAAATGGCTGCTGCTCTCCCCTGCTGAGGGTATCGCAGTGAGAGGCGGGGGCGATGTCCCTCCCTTTACCCTCGGTGGGAGCAGGACCGTGGGGAACCCCCCTGGCTTTCCCTGCGCACCCTCGGGCCGTTGAGCCCAACGGCTGCAACCCTGTTTGAAAGCCCGCGTGACCACGGGAGAGCCCACGAGGGGGGAAGGGGAAGCCTTAGCCGGCGCTTCAGCGGCTCAGCAGCGCGTGAGCCCGGGCCAGAGAGCAAAGCGAGCGGCGCGCGAGGAGCCGACTGGCTGGGCGCGGCGATTGGAGTGGGCGGGGTTTGGCGGCAGCTGGCCCGGCCCCTGGAGGGGGAGGGGTCAGAGATCACGTGCGCGGGGGAAGCCATGGAGCGGGAGGACGGGGCGGCGGGAGCGGGGTTCCCCTTCTCGCCTGCTGACTCCTGCCCCGCTCGGTCGCCGGCGAAGTTTGCGGCTGAGCCCGCAGGAGCAGCAGCCATGGCGGCGGTGTCCTCCTACGAGAGCTTGGTCCATGCCGTGGCCGGGGCTGTGGTGAGTGCGGGGCGGGACGAGGCGCCCGGGGTCGGGTGGGGAGTGGGCAGGGAAGCGGGGTCTGGGTCCTGGGCAGGGGGCCGCCAAGCTGCCCCTATCGCGCGCCGCTGTCCCGAGCTGAACGGTGACTCGCCGGGGGAGGGGAGGACGTGGCGGGGGGAGGGGTTCTGGCAGCGCGGCAGGACAGGGCTGGTGGCGGAGAGCGGCTCCGGCTTCCCAGGGCCAGAAGAAGTTGCTCGGTGGGCCCGATCCTGCGGTCCCGAACGCCCAGGATTGGGCCCCACGTCTCTGGCTCCTGCTCGCCTGGCTGTGTGTGGGGGGCTTTCCCTGGCGGAAACCCTTCAGGGGGGCCAGGTGTCAGACGCTCTCACTGCCCTGCGGGCCGCCGCTGCTCCGATATCTCATATAAGGAGGAGTCAGGGCTGCGTTTTTGCCCAGCTGATGCACCCACCGCTTGAGTTTTCTTCCCCTTCCTGCCCAATTGGAACAGCAAAACGTGGAGGGGGGTAAACACCAGGCGTCTCCTCTCTGCTGCCCTCCTCCCTGACTTGTCACCTTCTTCACCTGTGTGTGAGGACAGTAACGCCGCCACAGCTGCACGTTGTGATGTCAGATTGAGCTTTACCTACTCTGACTTCGGTGAGAGCTCGCTGGTTATAAAGATAGCACCTGTAATATGGACACCAACATCTTTGTGGTCTGAGCACAGGTCTTGAAGCCAGGAACTCCAGTCTCAATTCTCAGAGGGGTAGCCGTGTTAGTCTGTATCCACAAAAACAATTAGGAATCTGGTGGCACTTTAAAGACTAACAGACTTATTTGGGCATAACCTTTCCTGGGTAAAAAAACTTCTTTTGAAGAACTTCTTCTGAAGTGGATTTTTTACCCACAAAAGTTCACGCCCAAATAAATGCTAGTCTTTAAGGTGCCACCAGACTCCTCATAGTCTCAATTCTGTCACTCATTTCTTTGGGCAAATCACTTGGGGACAAATTTTCAAAATGCCCACTAATTTTGCTTGTCTCTCTTTTTGAGTGATCAACTTGAGACACTTAGGGGATGACTTCCAGGCTGAGCACCTGCAGCTCCCACCAAAGCAGTGGGAGCTGCTGGTTCTCAGCATCTGTAAAAGTTAGCCTCTACAGATTTGGGCATGAGCTTGGGCTTATATTGCAGTGTACCCTATATGTCTTGATTTGAGCACCCAAAATTTATTTGTCAGCCTTAAGCTGAGATGTATCTTAGATTCTGTAAATTGGGATCAGAATATTTACCTCCAAGTTATGTGTTGAGAATTAGCCTTGTCATATTTGTAAAGATGAAAGCCACTATATATTTGAATGATCAGAAAATATATCAAACAAGTGCACTGCAGCTAAATGAGATTTGGAAGAAAATTGGTATAAACTTGTTGGAGGTAATACCAAATTTGTGTAAGTTCCTTGGCCTATTGGTAGAGCCTGCCATGGGTGGAAGAGAACTAGTGTTTATAAGTAAGCAACAGCATCTTGTTGCAACATCTTATCAATTAACCCTCCCCTGTTGGGAAGAGGGCCTTCCTGAGTTTCAAGCAAACTGATGTTCCCCTTAGGTTTTCTTGTGAGGTTGCTCAAGGTGTGGGAGTTGCCTGCCAGTTCCCAAGATCAAAACCAGACTCAAACATGTGCAATAGCTGTGTTAGTAACCTATACTGCTCTTACATTCTGGCAAAACTTTCTGGTCTAATTAATGGGTCCTTAGATGACTAATGCATTCATCATTACTTTTTTTTTTAATTTATAGTAGTAGTTCTCACATTAATAGTGTAGACAGGGACTTATTTTGGTAATGGTATTTCTATGTATTTTTTGATGTGTATTTGGAATATACTAGGTGTTAACCCTTTCCATTTACATCTCTCCTTAAAATTCATTACTTCAACAAATATACCACTGTTTAGAAAAAGTTGTCATGCATGTTTGCTATTTAAAGAGCACTTTGACACCTTGTCTACACTTGAAGTGTTACTAGGAATAACTGTCAGTAAGGAGTCTGATTTATTTCCCCCTGACCTAGTTATGCCAGTAAAAGGTCTAGTGTACATGCAGTTATCTATATAAGACACTATAGCGGTATAGCTCATCTTGCTTCCCCAAACTAGAATAAGCTATATTGGTATCAGCACTTTATAATATAACTGCATGTGGGTTTTGGACAAGGTCTAAGGCAGTCTCTACACTATAGGCTTCTGCTAGCACAGCTATGTCAGACAGGGGTCTGAAGTAATGTAATCTTTGACTGACACAGCTGTACTGGCAGAAGGAATACTGGTAAGAACAGATTTATATTGGCAAAGTACTCCAAATATAAATATAGCTTGAGTCTCCTCCTGGCTCCCCAAGTACATCTGACTTTTGTGTAATTTGTCTATTTAGACTATAAGCTCCTTCCTCAGTCTTGTCTTACAGTTGAGACACTGATTATTAAATGATACAGTTCCAAATAATCTGCCACAGAAACTATATCTGGAATAGATTTTTAAAGTCATCTTGTTCAACTTCATCATCTCTGACAAATATGAGAGAGTTCTCTTTCAATATTAAAGGGTTTGCTGAGTTCACAGCACCTTAAGCCACTGGTTCTCAACCTGCAGGCCACATGTGGCTCAATCAGCACACAACTGTGGCCCATGTGACATCCTCAGGGCCATACAGGGTGTGTGTGTGTGCGCGCATAGAGCTGCATGTGTGGGTCCCACAATAGTAAATAAGTTGAGAACCGCTGCCTTAAGCAGTGGGGCTTCTCCCATTTAGTTCATGTACAGAATAGTGTAGTCCAAACTCATTAAATGTGTCTTGTTAACGAACACTGATAAGACCCTCTAAGGCTAAGAGCTTGCTGTACATGTATTAATGTATTCCCTGATAGACATTTGAGACTTTGGGAGTTAACTGCTTGGTTTGTATAATTTAGATGCCAAGTTATCTCTGTCAATAGTAACAAAAGTGTTTTTTTTTTGAGACTCAGCGTAAACAAAGTTGAGAGTTCCAATGTTGGGCCAGCACAATGAAGTTTAAGGCTATTGTATTCTTATTTTGCTAAGCAGCCTTGATGAGCTCCAGGGAGACTACTGTCCTTCCCCTGATAGAAAGCGTTGGCTTAATGAAAGCAAAGAGGGGGAGGGTGGCGTGGCATGAATTCTGTATTCCCCTTTTTACAGGAATACCTGTCTCCTGCTGGAGTATAGTTACCACTTTGAAAATTTGTGTGCTCTGACTTTTATGGAACTGCCCTATTTGTCTGAAGTCTCCCAAAGCAGAACTGCTGTTACACACTACTGTACCACAAGGGTTCTGCTTGAGTTCTAGAAGTGTGCAGAGTGAAGGCCCAGAGGAAGCAAGACATACTTAGCACCAGGAAATTAAATTGTAGGTTTTTACTTATGCCTACAATGTTAATATATATATCTGAATGTCTCATTGTAGCCATAATTGGTAGTTTTCTTAACTTTCTTAGCTGAAGTATTTGTAAATAGAAAAATCATAAACTTTGGTGTATACCTGTTTGTATCCGTGTGTGTCTCAGGCTGTTCGGTTTGTTTGCTTGGGTACTGTCACTGGAAAATGAGGACACGTGCAATAGGCACTAGGGGTTGTTGTCATAAAAACAGTAGGGTGGCCAGACAGCAAGTGTGAAAAATCTGGACTGGGGTGGGGGGTAATAGGAGCCTATATAAGAAAAACCCAAAAATCAGGACATCTGGTCACCCTATGTGGGAGTAACCTCATTTATACAGGATTAAAGTATTATCTAGTCATTTTAAGAAAGTGTTTTCTCTTTTGACTTTAAAAGCTGATCATCTAAGGGTGGGTCTGGGCTTTGAAAGCTGTTAAGGGTTAAAAACAAAACAAAAAACCCTACCTGCCCTGGAACAATGAATTAGCATTTCATTTTTGTAGAGCTCCGTTAGCACACATTAAATAAAATGAGTGATAATTTAACAGTAAATGGATTTAATCCATGTCAACTTCATGGGTTAAAAATGTTCCTTAATAGACTATTCAACAAAATTATTCATAATAAGCCATTTGCTAGGTAATACCATAACCCTTTTAGGTTTGAAGTTTCCCATGGCAAAGATTTTCTTTTCTGTTATACAGCATCCACTAGAATGTGGACCTTATTCCCCTTTGACATTGCATGGGAATGTGAAAGCTATAAAAATTCAGCTTCCCCTTGTGCTTTTCAAGAACCTTATGCCATAGCCTAGAACCTTCCACCAAAAATGGCCTATCCACTAGTTCTCAAGCATTCACAGCAGGTGTTTAACAACTGCCTCTCATATAATTTCAGTGAGTGTAGGGTGCATAGAGATTTTAGTACTTGGGAAGAAATGAGAGGGTTTTTATAGATTAGAACAAATATCTTAAATTAACGCAGAAGCAACTGACAAAAGCCCCTTGCAGTTCATGTAATACTAGTTTAATGTGCTTACCCCAACACATCTCCATTTTGAAGTGCCTTCAACGTTAGCCTTCCCCTTCAATAGAGTGCATTGCAATAGTTCAAGAACAGAATAGATGAATAAGGCCTTGTCTCTACTGCGGGGGAAAAAAGTGTTAATTTGAGTTAAGATAAAATTGTAGTGAAGACAAGGTAGTTTGTCTTAACATGAGTTACAAGATCAAGTTACATGACTGAAGCCTGCATCAGCTGTCTTTGCTTTACTATGTTTGCATATAGTCTTCTGTTGCATTCTCCCAGCAACAACCTGCCCTTGCCTTCTGGCAAAAAGCTGATGATTAATCATCCACCACTGCATCTCCTGTCCTGCATCTGCTTCCTGTTCCTGAAATGAGAGTTGTATTAATGCCATCAATTTGAACAGATCCTCATTCTCAGTTGAATCCATGCCTTGCTGCTTGTTTGAATGAAGGCCATAGACCAAATGCTAGTGTGCACCAGACTGCAAGTACTTTACTTACTAAGTTTGTAAGTTAAGGCCATTCTGTGTAGGTATG